ATTTTTACTGTTCTTCAATGTTTAATTTATGTTTGAATAAATCCAAGTTTTTAATGACAACCACCATTTAAATCCCCAACTAAAAAAAAAAAAAAAAAAAAACGAGAACTCTGAAACAGAGCTCTTGATAGACACTATTTAGCCATCCAACAATTCCAGCCAGCCAAAATCCCTTTATAAAAGGCAAGCTTAGACAGGAAAGCCAATTAACAAAACAAAATAACAGCTCTTTAAGTTCCCCGCCCACCAACCCACGCGCACGCACACATGCACATTTGCATCAGCAGGAGGAAATAGCTGCTCTGCCCATAATTACTACCTCGGTTTCAAGATGCAGATTTGTGTCTACGGGCCAAATTCTGCAGCTCGCTGTTCAAACATCTGCCCGCACACACAAACGAATCAAATCTCTATGGTGCCAAGCAGGAAACTGCAAACAAAACCTGTACTGTGTGAAAATTCAAACAGACACCCACCTCTTGTTTTTCAGGTTCAGCGCTAGGTGGGATTTCGTGAGCGTGCTCCTCCTCTTTCGCAGGTTCATCTTTAGATTCAGCAGCTTTTACCTGATTATCAACAAACTCTTTAAATGAGTCCAGATCACGCTTTCCTCTGTACTGATCAACCTGAAAACACACGGCATGTGCACGGTTACTGTTATTTTTTAGTGTAAACACTATGACAACTATCAGACTTTTATTACCATACTTAATTCATAACATCTAGTTACAATTTGATTCGCTTATTTGGGAACATTACGATTTTATAAGTGAAAAATAGTGCATGGTGGTTCATGGTTGTGAGGATGTAGGAAGCATAGAAAAAGTAACAGAATATCTGAAAAGAAAAAGAAAAAAGGGTAACATCTGGGGTAAGGTTTTTTTTTTTTTTAAGTTATTCAGCAAAGACACATTGAACTGATCAAAAGGGACAGCAAATAATGACTACATGTTCTTTTGAACATTGCATTCATCTCAGTTCCCATAAAAATGTATAGCAGCAGATTAAGCAACTTCCAGTATTGATGATGATAATAAATATTTCTTGAGCACCAAATAAGCATATTAGAATGATTTCTGAAGCATCGCGTGACATTGAGTAGTAGTATATTTTTATTTAATGCCATGTCAGCATCTTAGGCTATTTTCATGGTAAAAAACTAGTCAAAAAATGCAAGTATAACAAATACAATAAAGACCAGCAAACAAACAAACATGTTATATTACACAAGATTTTTTACATTAACATATGATAAAAATTCTAAAACTTTTCCTGGCAAAATTATACTAAATAACTCTTTAAGTGAGTTTTGCGTGACATTGAAGATGAGTACTGAAAATTCAGCTTTGCCATCACAAGAATAAATTACATTTTAACACATTAAAATAGAAAATAGTTCATTAAAATTGTAGTATTTCGCAGTATTGCCGTTTTAATATATATTAATCAAAAAAATGCAGTCTTGAGTATGAGACTTTCAAAAAAAATAAAAATAAAAAATCTACCAACCCCAAACTTTTGAACAGTATAATGTATACACATTAATACACATCATAAGAAATTATGCCACTCTAGATTTTCTTACCTTCTCTCCATCAGTGAAGAAGAGCAGCGTGGGATAACCACGAACCTGATTATTTGAACACACCTCGTAGTGCTGTGTGCAATCCACCTTTAGCAAGCAAAATATGTCAATATCAGAAAACAGAAGTCAATTTGCAGTATAGAAAAAACACGAGAGAAACCACAATGGCCTCTCTCACCTTGCCGATCTTGACACTGTCTGAATGCTCAAAACTGGTGGCGAGCTGTTCCCATGTTGGAGCCATGGCTTTGCAGTGCCCACACCATGGTGCAAAGAACTTCACAAAGTGAGAACCTGTAGAGGTGAATTACAGGGTTACAGCCTCAAAATGCAACAAGAATCCGTGTCTGAAGTAGGATAACACATAAAAACATAATGGCTTTAATCATAACTGATCAAAATTATCACAGACTGCAGAAAATATGGTGTTGCAGGCTGCACATTTATGCACAATGAGAAGAGAATTTACAGTGTCATCTCACAGCCAATCTACACAACAGTCATGCCACCCACAACCGTATGATGTTACAAGAAACGTCATGAATTGTGTGAATTATGTGTACACACAGTACAGCCATAAAATGTGGAAATATATTAATTTGGCATGATGTGTACAATAAATTAATATGTATAATAAAAACTTTTGGTGAGCACCCTATTAGGGTTAAGCAACATCATTAACATGTGCTTCCAACATCTGAAGGTGGGAAACATAAACAGTTCTGTCAAAGCCAGAGCATCATTTCCTGCCTCTCCTCCAAAGAGGAATAATTTATTTGGCTAACGGAAGGAACATGTAACATTAAAAGGGTGTATGAGAACAGGGCTGAATCTGTATCAAAGCCAAGACCATAATTCACCTCTGCTGCCAAATTTATTGTCATAGAGAGAACATTATGGGAATAACCCCAATTAAAATCCTGATGGGTGCTCAATGAAACTGTGGAAATGCAGGAGCTCTTATCTTTTACAGCCACACATAATGAGTGATTACCGGATGTCTTTAAATGTAAATACTGCAAAGAAAACAATTTGAATACTACTACTACACAAAATATATATATATATATATTTTTTTTTATTTTTTT